CTTGCTTGCTTGCTTGCTTGGTTGGTTGGTTGTTTGTTTGTTTGTTTGTTTGTTTGCCTGCTTGCTTGTTTTTCTGTTTGCTTGCTTGCTTGCTTGGTTGGTTGTTTGTTTGTTTGTTTGTTTGCTTGCTTGCTTGCTTGTTTTTTTGTTTGTTTGCTTGCTTGCTTGTTTGCTTGCTTGCTTGCTTGTTTTTTTGTTTGCTTGCTTGCTTGCTTGCTTGCTTGCCTTTTTTTGTTTGTTTGTTTGTTTGATTGCTTGCTTGCTTGGTTGTTTGCTTGGTTGCTTGGTTGTTTGTTTGTTTGTTTGTTTGCTTGCTTGCTTGCTTGTTTGTTTGCTTGCTTGCTTGTCTGCTTGCTTGTTTTTTGTTTGCTTGCTTGCTTGCTTGCTTGCTTGCTTGCTGATTGATTGATTGTTTGTTTGTTCGCGTTTTTTTTGAGGGTACCCCTTTTGGTTGGTGTTAAATCAAAGGGACACCTAAATGAAGCCAACAAATGGTGACCCCTTTTTATGAGCCTGCTTATTGTTGGGGGTGGGGGGACCCTTCCAAAGGCCAAAGGAGTCTGTGAACCCCCACCAAAAGCAGGGACGAGCCCCCATACTGTGGATGGAAGAAACGTGCACCACTTTGAAACCATGGAAAACCTTTGCTTGTTAGTATTTACATTTTAGTGTTGAGTAGGTGGTGCAGGATTTCGTCCCCCATAGTATTAACAATAGGGGTTTATTAATCCTGGATTGACGCTATTTAAATCACTCCCTGGTTGACTCATGTCGCGCCCTGCCCGTCATACCTCGCAACGCGGGTGAAGTGACATGCCTCGTTTTTCACGAGCGGAAACCGCTCGCCCGCGGTTCGATGCGCCCCAACAAAAAGCAGACAGGTGCGCAGGCAAAGGGGCCCTCGAAAAATGGCTGCGTCTTGAAATAGGGGACCCCAACAAGTGGTTGGTTTCCTTTAAGCCCTTTGGTTTCGCTTTCAGCCGGCTGCAAAGGGTAGCCTGCAAAAAAGACACATGTATTTCCGGGGGCTGAATGATTGGTTTTCTGTACTTTCTGCCACTGACGGTCGAAATCCGAAGTCCCCGTTGCGACAGTCTTGGATTCCGGGTGCCTGGCATGGATGTCGGCCGCAAGGCCCTTGCGGTCCAGAAGCTTTTTTTTGTTTTTTCCTTTTCAGATAGAAACAAGGACGGGTCCCGCCTTCTGTGCAAGGGTGATGTTTTTTTCTGCCCAAAGGCTTTTTTTTTGGTTTAAAGGGGAATGGCCTCAAAAAGGTTTCCACTCCACTAATTGGTCACGGTTGCGCTGGTCGCCTGGTATCAAACACTGTTTTTGTTACTTTTCTCAAGTGCTGCTTGTCCCCCTATCGACTCAGCGCAACCGTGTCCAACTGGGGGTGGGGTGGCGGGGTGGGGGGGGATGATTATGTTCGGTCCCTGCAGTCTCGGTAGGGTTTTTTGCTGACCCTGGCCCAGTTGAGTCTTGGGAAGATGTACAGACCAGTGGCTTGTTGAATTATGTCAGCAAACGTGGTGTTTCGCATTCATTCTCATGGTGCATTGTGTTGGCCAAAGGCATCTCGCATCCTGAAAGTGAAGAACTTTCATCAGGGGAGCCACCAACGAAAAGAAGTCTGTAGACACGTAGATGATGTCAGACGTCTCAAGTTGTCCAAGGCTCATGGAATTCACCCGGCTGATCGTGCATGGCAATCATTGAAAGCTTTCTTGCCTCCGCATCTCCACCGCAAATGTTGGTGTGAATATAATTCGGCTGTTAATGTTTGTTTGAAACAAAGGACTTTTCATCAATTCGTGTGGAGACGAAGTTCGGGCACTTCTTCGCGTAATGCTTTGTTGGGGGCATTGGTGAAATTGTCGCGCAGTTAGCCGAACGAAGTAGTTTTGCATGTTGACGCCTGCCACGCGGCGAGCGAAACGAGCAAAAACGGCACGCTTTTGACAGTGACGGCTCCGAAAACACCAGGCGACTAGCGCAGCCGTGACCTAGTTTCAGGGCTTAAAACGGGATACACAGGCCACGTACCATATATTCATAGAACGGGTGTTCGCCGTTTCGCCAGGTGGATTCCGAGCACAGCCAGGCGCGGGGAGTGTACGGATTCAGAGGCGATGGGGACATGGAGAAGGGAGGCTAGCGTCAGGAAGCCGGGCCCATCGAAGAATGTTGACCTCAGGTTTTTGAAGACCCCTGCAAATTCATATGGCTGTGGTTGTCAAAACCGTTTTGGGATCCCATTTTGGTTGGTAGGTGAATTCACCACCCATTTTAGTCTAGTGGGGATTGGGATGTTCACTGGGGGTACGGGGTTTTGACCCATGTCCCATATGGGGTCAGAGTTGGCAACCCTTCAGTGGTCTGAACTCACTAGGAACCAGGGACACTGGACACCTCCTTGTTTGCAGATAGGGTATAGTAGTCCTGGGCTCACATTCGTCAACATTTCTTGCGGATCACCCTGCTATAGCTCGGAATCATGACCGATCCCGTGGAGCCTGGGGGACCCGGGATTTCGTTCCTCGAGGCGAGCAAATGAATCAGGAGGTTTGGTTTGGAATTTGGGCGCGCGTCCCTTGCTTAAGGTTGCCTTTTGCAGGTTGGGGTGTGGTGGCCAGAACTGGTTGCTCTGCGGGGCGTGCTTTTCCCCGTTTTTTCGCCGGCTCGCCGCCAAGAACTGTAGAACCGAAGCCCGCGTGGTTTTCGACCGAGCCCGTCTTGTTTTTTCGGCTTCTTGGGTCTGCGTTGCTTGAGGTTTGGGGCTGCAAAGGTCAACCAATGGCACTAGGCTTCACTCCACTCGGGAGGTGTGTGCGACAGGCTCCATTTCCTGAAGCCCGCAAGGGCCATTTTTTGGTTTGTTGGGGACACGTTGCCAACTACCCTCCAAATACCCCATGTCTTAGGTTTCGTGTCAATCCCTAAGGAACAACGGAGGTATTTACCCAGAAGAACGGTCAAAAGACCCTAAAAGTCGAGGGGGGTCTTGGGAGTGGGGGGTTAGCCGGCCTCCTGCAGGCCTGGGACGGCGAGCCCCTGCCGGACTTGGAGGAGTTGAGTTGTTTTTTAGTTGGGAAGGTCACTACTGTGGATGCGAAATCCATTTCGCGCCACGAAATGAAACCACAGTTGGAACCATAACGTTTGCTTGGCATTTACACGGGGAATCATCAATCCAGGGTTTCTTAGGTGGTGCAGGATTTCGTCCATCCACAGTATGGGCTCCGGAGGGGGCTTCTGGGAATGGAGTTGGCGCTCCCCTTCGGGGTGGTTCAAATCGAAACCATCAGGAAAAACATATTCTTTTCGCTGGCTCTCCCGTATTTTTGGAGACATGCCCAAGTCCTGAAGGATCCCAAACACCGCCATGCTGTGCGGGCGGTTTTGTTTTTGCCCCTTTGAGGGCTCCATTTGATCCCTGAGCCCGACGTGTCAACCTCCTGTTTGGGTGTTTTGTTGCCAGGGACATCAACCCCATTTTGCAGTCCCTGACAGCGTTCGCCGGTTTTTGCCCCATACTTCCAGCTCCCGTTTCAACGAATGCCCAAAGCCGCTCCAATCCCTGGGGACCTTGCTCCAGTTCCATGAAGGTGTTTTGTTTTCGCAGGACCTTGCGTTTGAATGACCTTTTGAGGAAACACGGTCTGCTTACACACCAATAACATGACCATGTGTTTCCTCAATGTAGAAATGGTCCGACTTTTTTCAATCGTAGAGGCTTGAGGATGTCAAAATGACCCTTGAAATGATGCGTTTTGGTGCGAAATAGAATCCCCCCATCTCGGATTGCAGCTGCTTTCCTTTGTCCTTTGTACAGTGCCTTGGTTTGAGAGGCTTAGTAGATTTGACTGGTAGGAAAACCAAGTTTTGGGAATTTCCTTTGGGTGAATTTTGAAGGGTCCTTTCCGATCGGGGAATCTCCTTATTTCAGCTGGGGGAAACCTGCTGACGTGAATTTTTGTTTAGTGGCCACCCCCCAAACTAACGGTTGTTGCGCAGCGCACGTGCTCAGAAAAAAAAGAGGATTCGTTCGTTTGGGGGAGAACCTCGAAAATCTGATCGGGGCGTGGGAGGGTTCCGCATGCCCGAATGGTCTCAAAGGACCAGGCTCAAATCAACCTTCCATGGATCGGCCCGAGTTTGACTCGAGTTTCGCGGCATCCAGGAGTGTACAGTGCGGCCCTGCGCATCCTGGGAAGAGGCAGGAAAGGACCATTGCACGTATGAAGTGTGTCACCTGATTTTGTCCTGGCTGACATTGACAAAGTAGCTCTCCTTGAGAAACCCAAGGGAAATGTCCGGCGTGGCTTGCCTGGGTTGGGTTCAAGTTCGTGTTTTGTAGCCCACGGGCTGAAATCCGCAGGGACCCATTGGTGGTTTGGATTCGGAGAGCCTCAGGTTCCTCCGGCTGCATGGGAAGATGTCACTGAGCTTGGGGTGGTACCTGGGTTGCCCGGGCTCGGAGGGTTACCCTTTCCACGGGATTTCTACCTGGTTTCGGAGGTTCCGCTCGCTCTCTCGACCGACCGGGTTTGGGGGAAACCCCCGGCTGCGATCTGCTTCGCCAGATCGTGGCTGCTCTCGTGGAGATGGGAGCAGAGGCTCCCCGCCTCGAGCCGGCCCGGCCCGGAGATGTGACCCTAAAGCTTGGGAAGAGGCTTGCAACCATTCGGGCCTCTGTGCTTTTTTTCAGGGTTCCCTGTTACCCCCCGCGTTAAGGAAAAACACGGTTTGGCAATTTTTGGGGTCCAAATCCTTGAACTGAACACGTTTTGTGGTTTTAGAGGGAAGCCAAAAGGATAAACACGGTTTTTGCAATTTTTGGGGTCCAAATCCTTGAAAAGATGCCGCGCCACCCATTTGGCAGTTTCTCAAAACGGGACCGGGTTTCCTCGTCCTTTACCTGGGTCCGTGTCACATTGCTCTGGGCCGGAATCTGGGTCGGCATCGATTTCAAAGCATGCTTGCGGTCCCTCTGCTTCAGGATTGTGGGATCAAGGGGTTCATCCCACTTCTGTGATACACGGGAATCCCCTTTTAATATGGGAGGCCCTTTTTGTTGTATCACGGAAGTGGTCATTTCCCACAGCCCTCTGCTTTCTTGGCTGTAGGACAACGCCCATCCGCGATTTTTCGCCCGTGGGTATTCTACAGCTGACCCTTGAGCTGGATGGCCAGGAAGTTCGCCTGAGCGTGCCAGATCACTTCCTTGGGATCGAAGTGGGGCTTGTGAGGCGCGAGCTGAAGCCTGGTGTGCTCCATTTGTTCTTCGATGTCAAGATGGCTGAGGACACGTTGCGAGAGGGCCTGCGCACAGACCTAGTTGGAACGATCACCTGCACTCCAACCTGTTTCTTGAAGGCATGGAGGGTGCTGATTGGACATGATGTTGATGATTCTGAGCAAATTCTGGAAGGCATCACGCAAATGACTTTTACTCCAGAAGATGCAACTTGACTAACCTCAGTTTGCCCTCTACGCTGCAGAGCCTAACTTTTGGCGAGACATTCGACCAGAGCTTGGCGGGAGTCACTTTCTCAGGAAGCCTGCAGAGCCTGACTTTCGGCGATGGCTTCAACCAAAGTTTGGCGGGAATGACTCTGCCAGTCAATTTGCAGAACCTGACTTTCGGCGCACGTTTCGACCAAAGTTTGGCGGGAATGACTCTGCCCGTCAATTTGCAGAGGCAGACTTTTGGCGATGACTTCGACCAAAGCTTCGCGGGAGTCACTTTGCCAGGTAGCCTGCAGAGCCTGACTTTCGGCGAAAGCTTCAGCCAAAGCTTGGCGGGAGTGACTTTACCAGGCAGTTTGCAGAGCCTAACTCTTTGCCCACAAGCTGAATTGAGCTGTTATTTTTGCGCGATACTAGCCCTGGAGGCCCAATTGATACAGAACAAAGTGCTCAATTGCATTTTCGGAGTTCGAGCGTTTCGAGCGCAATTCGGCGCAACTTCGGGCGCAATTTCGCGCAACTCGGGCGCAACTCCGCGCAACCGCGCGCAATTTCAACAACTGCCCAAATTCTGGTCACTACACTAGCGCCAAGTCGCTGGCTCCCAGAAACGTTTCGGGCACTTTTTCGCAAAAAATAATCGAGCACACATTTCTGTATCAATTGGGCCTCGATTTAGCAACTTTGCCAGGCAGCCTGAATCACCTTACTTTGCCTTTTGACTTTGATGAAGGTTTGTGGGGAGTGACTTTAATAGGCAGCCTGCAGAGCCTGACTTTCGGCCGTGATAATCTAGTAAGTTTACTTTTCAGCAGGCAGAGCCTGACTTCTGGGGATGGCGATAGCTTCAGCCAAAGTTTGGCGGGAATGACTCAGTCTCTGCCCGTGAATTTGCAGAACCTGGCTTTTTGCCAGAGATTCAGCCAAAGTCTGGAGGGAGTGACTTTGCCAGGCAGCTTGCAGAGTTTGACTTTGAACCAAAGCCCGGATGGAGTGACACGGCCAGGCAGCCTGCAGAGCCTGACTTTTGGCGATGACTTCAGCCAAAGTTTGGCGGGAGTGACTTTGCCAGGCAGCCTGCAGAACCTGACTTTCAGCAATCAACGCTCGGCGGGATCGACCTTGCCAACTAGCTTGCAGAGCCTGACTTTCGGCCTGATTTCAGCCAACGCCTTGACGAAGTGAAATTTCCAGGAGAGTTGAAGAGCCTGACTTTCCACAAGGTGTCACAGTGTTTGGAGGGAGTGACTTTTCCAGACAGGCTGCAGATTCTCACTTTGAAACATGACATCTTCTGTCGCCCTCTGGGCGTGAAATTTGAAGGCATGCTTCAAACATTGCATTATGGTGATGTTCACTTGGCTTTATAGGAACATGTGGCGCGACCGGCTTTCAAATCGAAGCCAAGGAGAACAACACATCTTTGTGGGTGGGCGGGGTCAGGCTGCTGCAATTAAAGTTAGTTTGTAGCTTAAAGTGGTGAACCTCAATGTGTCACCCTCCGCTTTCTTCTGATACTGAAGGAACATCGCCTGTGAATACCCTGGGAAACCAAAAGGTCGCCACTCCCCAACTGTTCTATCCGAAGAGGGTGAATCAGCCCCAACTCCTCGAAGGGCACCCCAATATTTTTCCCCTTTTCCGGTCCTTTTTGTTGTTGATGCTTTGGACTGTCCCCCCCAACTTCTAGGATGAAGGGGGTCCTGGAAGCCGGGAAGGTAGTCTCCTCAAGCATTTGGTTTTGTGTTGGAAGGTGGACTAACCATGAAGCAGAATCCGAACATATATTTTTTGGTGCACCCCAGATTTGGGTGGACAGTAGATTACAACCCAGATTATAAAGTGGTTTGGTTACATACTATTGGTGAAGTGGAGGTCAGATGCACTTGCCTATCTTACGTGCTTTGAGCTCACCAATGCGGGGGGTAAATAAGCGATGAGCCATTCAGGTTCTTTGCTTGGTAGCCATGCAGGTTCTTTACTTGGTAGCCATGCAGGTTCTTTTCTTGGTAAGTTTCGATTTAGTCATAGACTTTGCAGCATGACATGTGCCATGGTCATTTGACACCCGCGGAGGTTGCTAGGAATGACCATGGATCCCGGAAAACATAGTTTAGCAGCCGTTGTAAGCTATACGGATTCCGTTTTTAACGGAACCATGACTACGGTCCACATAGGCAGTTTTGACCGTGGCTCAAGGAGTCATACCATTTTCTGGTCACTGAACAGGACGCAAATAGAAAAGTGATCAGGCAACAGAGGGCTTTTCCAAGGGGCGTCCACATTGGCAGGGTTTTGACAATTTTCTGAAGAGAAGGATCCCAGAGCAGAATGGGCTGTGTACGGGCATAACTCATGGTAACCTGACCACTGGCCCCGTTGCTCTGTGAATGCTCCGAGTCGCACACACACACACATAGGTGAATTGGATTTTTTGGAAACCAAAAGGACCCCCCCTCCCGCATTTTGGACGTCCAACCCCCCCCCCCCAGTGGAACAGGACCCTCCCTTATTTTGGACGTCCAATGGAGGATAGGTCGGGCCATCTCTTGCCCATCTTTTACGGCATACTTGTGACCTCAAGAAAGGAACAAACATGGGATTTGGACGGGGCCTGCAACCGACTTTTTGTGAAGACCAGATAATTGTAGATACATGTTATGTCCGTTGGACATCATATGTCTCGCACTGTGCAAGTCTTTCATCTTTCTTTTTACAATATTTTCTTGATGAATGGTTTTCATCATTCATTTCCTTCTTTTGGTCTTGTCTTTGTACATCTGTTCCAAGTCCTGAAAGCATTTGTTTAAGAGCTAGGCCAAGTACGGAAACAACACGAATGCAGAAATTGTGATGGGATACAAGATTTCCAGGGTTAATTCCCCATCCTCGTCTTTTTCTGAACTGTCCGTAGCATTCTTCCAGCGAATCAGTTAGATCTTTCCTTCTTGGACTTGTGTTGTGAATCTCTACTTTTCATATCGTCACTTTTGAGACAACTCCACGAACTGATCCAAGGCACGTCGCAACATGACGGCGGGAAGCTTCCGGCCGAACTCGAGAGTTGGTTTTTTCGCCGAGTGGCCGAGCAAAGCTCCTCTTGGTGCTTCGGGGAGCCAAGTGGCCCAAGCTTTTTTTTGCATGGCTTCAGCAGTGCTACCGCTTCGGGGACTCAAGGACGTCCCCCCTGAGAAAAAGAGAGAAGAAGTCTCGTCGCGCGTCGGAGCCCTCGCCGCCAGACCATGTACATGGGGGCTGCCGGGCTCTTAGTCCGAAGCATTCGGTCGACTCACTTCCTCTGTTCCAATAGGAGAAAAAGTCCGAACTGTCTGTCCGCGCAGTCCAAGAACAAGCCTTCACTGCTCCAACGGCCCTACAGAAACCATGATCATAAGGTTTCTTTGATTTAGAGACACACTGAGCCGCGGGAACACTCAAATCCAACCCAATGTTACCAGCCACACCAGCGAAGTCAACCGAGTCAGATGCAGCCTGAGTCCCGCAAGACATCAAGCCAGATAAATCAAATACTTCCAACCAAACACGCTACGGCGGAGCTTTAAAGCTGGCAATGTTTACGGAATTGCTCGGCGCGAGCGCGATGTCGTTCACTACGAACGTTTTGAGTCCACGTCTGTGGTCCTGAAATTGCCGACAAAGCCGGAAGACAGATACCCAAGTCAATCCGGAATGGGACCAGCGCTTTCCGCGGTGACACCGCTCGAAGCCTGCCTTTTTTGTTTCTCAGCCATGGCCTTCTGATTTGCAGGTTGCCACCTTACCCCTAGTTTGTGGCTTGGTTTGTCGGGTTTGGTCAGCGGCGGTCTCCAATGACCCTCCAGACTCGACCCCTGCAAATACAAAGCCACCAATCCAAGCTCATTAAGGGTCTCAATCCAAACCTAGAGAATGAAACCAGTTGGGCTTTCGATGAAAGATGGCGAAGGCCCTTCACAATTCTCGGAACTCCAAGGCGGCGAAACTCCCAGCGGCGCCGAGCTTGGGTGGGCTGTACCAGGGATACCTTCACGACCACAGTGTGGTTTGTATTGCTTGGTGGTTTAACCAGTGAATCATCCGGTTCCAGATAGCATTTTAGTGGTTTTTAGGTAGTTTAGTGCTTGGGTTTGCAAATTTAGCCCAATAGTTGAACTTTGAGCACAGAATCTAAGGAGGCTACCATCAAACACAACCAGGGACCTGGTCAAATCCAAATCCCCGCAGCAGGAACACATTGTAGTGGTGGTTTGGATTTGGATTTGACCGGGTCCCTGGTTCTTTTGGGTGGTTTTTTCCCAATCCTGCTTTGAAGTCAGCCTCAGTCTATATAGTGCAATACTGTGGACGGACGAAATCCACTCTGGAAATGATGATTCTCCTGTAAATACCAAACAGCGCCCCCCCCCCAAAAAAAAATACAAAACAAGCAAACAAACAAACAAACAAACAAACAAACAAACAAGCAAGCAAGCAAGCAAACAAACAAACAAACACACACACACACACAAACACAGGTGCTTTGGGTCCCATGGCAACCGTTGGATGAAGGAGTTTGCTGCTTCAACATGCAACAAAGTTGTGGAGTTGGAGTTTAATGGTGATTCCCCTTTGTTTTGGGCTCCGTGACGGGCTTGGGAACTTACTTTGGTAAATGGTTCTCTGAGGCCCCAAAGTGGGGGGGGTCATTTCTTCAGGATCGCCCAGGTGTAACTCCCAAATGGAAGCCAGCCTTGCGCCTTTTTTTGGATCTGGAATGGGAATCCATTTTGGTTGACTGCGGACCAAGATTTTGTAGGGATTTGGGGCTACCTCCGACCGATGAAAGAACTGCAGTTGGGATGGATGGAACATCATGCTGGTTGACAAACCACCGGATTTCCCATCAGTGGGGCCAAGCCGTCTAAACCAACCGGCAGGGGCGGATCTGGCTAGCGTTGGAGATGGTGCGGTTGCCAGTCAACAATTGGACGACTACCTGACACGTGCCCAATATCAGGGCCACTCAATTGGACTGGGGGTTCCGGGGTACTCTGAAGCCAAATCAAGTCATGATCAAGGAAAACTGGGTGTATTTTGTTGGCCCCTACTGTGGATGGACAAGATCCATTTATTGCCACCTAAGAAACCCTTATTTGATTCGATTAACGTAGAAACAAACCCAACAACCGTTCTGGTTTCATTCCCATGGCGACTCATCAACCAAAGTCTGGTGCGGTTTGGGATTTCGCAATCCACTCGAGGCTCGCTAGGCCTAGCTTTGACGGCGGGAGACACAAGAATCGGAACCCGCGACTGTAGATCTGATCTTCAGAAGGAAGCCCAAAGAAGCATCCATGGAGGAATCGGTCTTTTCTTTCTTTTCTTTTTTTTTGGGGGGGGAAGGGGGGGGGCGCTCTTTTGAGAGTTCTGTATGATTTTTTGAGGGAGACTGCAGAGAAGCGGGATCTGTGCATCCGCTCGCTGGCCTCTCGCTTTGATCATAGACAGAGTTGAGATGAGATGGGCTTCGGCCAGCATATTTTTTTACAAGATCATGTGGGTGTGGGTCAAAATTAAACCACCAGGATACGGGTTACGCAGGTTTTGGTCCATGTTGCCACTTACCAGGGCATACGCCATTTTTGGGTTACCCTATTTTTGACCACCACCGCCATGTGGGAGCTCTGAGTTCCTGAACTTGGTTTGTTTACCTTTTTCGGGGCAAGG